AACCTAGACATCAGAAGTCCAACGAGCAGCTATCTACTTGTGCATAATCACAAATATAACCTTTGTGTTCACAATAAGTCATTGTAATATACAAGCTCCCTGATCATCCTAAACTGACAGGCATTTTGCCAGTCTCAAGCCAAGAGGTACAGGAAATAAAAGGCCATCAAGGATCATTCATCAAAGCAATATGTGATTCAAGAGGTGTGGAAGAGTGAAGGCACAGCCATGAGCCATGGAGGTGGGTTGCTGGACCACAAAAGGGGTTTCTGTCTCCAGAAGACATCAGATCAGGCAGCTACAATTATCACTGCAATTCCTTAGTAAGTGTCACCTGTGGTGGATATAATTACAGGTGACAACTGCTGTCACGCCCACCTCACAAGGCACTAAAAAGATCCCATCGTTTGCCAAACCCAGGCATACCTAGTTGACGGACATTCAAAAGAGGAGAGCAGGCAGAAAGACCCATTCAAAAAAAATGACAGGTTTGGAAGGAAATGGGAACACAAGCACACATGTATGCGCATGTACACACACACACAAGTCATCTGGGAAAGCAATTGAAGGACACAGCTCTCAAAAATGGCACAGTGATGCAAGACCGTTGGAATTATGTTCCTGTCTTCTGGATTCAGCTTTTTATGATGATTAGGGATGGGAACGAATTAAAAATGGTGAATCATTGTGATTTGTGATTCATCAAGGTTAATGAATCAAGGAATACGAATTTACAAATCTTCTGCGACGAACTGATTTGCCAATTTGTTTTTGCTATAAAATGCTATAAAACTGGCCCCCAAGTACCTAGAGACACCACATTTGCAGGGAAGCTGACTCAGATGGTTTCCTACAAGCCCAGAAGGTTTGGTGAATATTGGGTTTTGGACCCCCGAGTTGTATAGTCACAAGGAGGACACCCCCAGGAAAGTTTCCCCCAGGTACTTAGAGAACCCTAAATCACAGAGACACTTCCTATGTCTTTCCCCAACACGCTTGCCAAGTTTGGTGAAGATCGGATATTGGACATCTGAGTCATTCACCCACAAATTGGGTCCCCCCCCTCAGGATAGCTTACACAGAAAGCAGATGGCATTGAGGGAGTTTGATTTGGCCCTGGAAGAATGAGAGATCTTTGGCACTGAGGTAGCTTGGTTTGTCTCTGGCAGGCACACGGAGGCCTGAGGCACTGAGTTTGTCTTCAGCAGCATCTCATTTGGCAGTGAAGAGATTTTGCCCCCCAGTAGGCAATGAGGTATTTGGCATTGAGGTAGAGATTGGCCCCAGCGGGCACTGAGGCATTGCAAAGTTTCCCTCCCCTAAAGGTAAAGGTTCCCCTTGAAATTTTTAGTCCAGTCGTGTCCAACTCTAGGGGGCGGTGCTCATCCCCGTCTCCAAGCCATAGAGCCAGTGTTTGTCCGTAGATACATTTCTGTGGTCACGTGGCCAGCATGACTAGACGCAGAGCGCCGTGACCTTCCCACCAAGATGGTACCTATTTATCTACTCGCATTTTTACATGCTTTCAAACTGCTAGGTTGGCAGGAGCTGGGACAAGCAATGGGAGCTCACTCCATGGCATGGATTTGATCTTAGGACTGCTGGTCTTCTGACCTTGCAGCACAGTGGCTTCTGCAGTTTAACCCACAGCGCCACCACGTCCCTCCTTCCCTTCCCTAATTACATCATAAAAGAAACCGAGCTATACATGGGTGGAATGCTAGACACTTGAACTAGTTTCAGATTGGGAAGAGAAATGGAAAGCCAGTGGAGTCAGGGGATCGCTTTGATCCCTTTCCCCCCCTCTCCCTATGCCGCTGTCAAGCATAGAAAGAGGGGGAAAGCCCAATCCAAGCCATCCCCCCCCCCCACCCCGAGGTGGGTTTCCCTTCTTGGCAGGCTTTAGCAAGCCGCTGGATGGGAAAATCCCTGCCTTCTTATGCCCCCGAGGAACAGCTGCTCCGTGGGGGCATAAGCAGATAGGGAACGAAGGGACGAAAATAAAAAGGTTACATTCATTGCTTCGTATTCATCGGGGTCTCTGGGCTCCAAGAATACGAAGCAACGAATATCGGACAAATCGGGGATATTTGTTACATTTATAGCCCACCCTTCCATTGGCAAGGTCACGTCACATCAGCACGTGCTCTTCGTGAGAAACCCTGGCCATGGCTTAAAAATGCTCTTTTGTCCTTCCTTGCACCTACATTTCTCTGTAGAAGATTGTTTTGTCCCCTAGCCCACTCAAGATGTCTCCCATTAAATCTCATTGGGGTTTTCCAGAGATTTCATGTCCATTTTTTTTTTTTTTCAGAACGAGTATCAAACTCCCTGGAAAGAGAACTGAACGATACAAAATGTTGGCAGGAAAAAAAGAAGAAACAACAATGGGAAGAAGATGAGACCAAAGGAATTTCATTTGACAGAAAGCCAGGGAATCTTGCTGGTCTGTGTGTTTGTGGTGGTGGAGACTTGGGAAATCATCCAAGATTTCCACTTCTCTATTCTGCATGCATGGAATACAATGAACGGTGGGGTTTGGAAAAGAGAGGCCCTTCGGATGGACATGAAGCACCCTACGGGGTTATCTGGGCTCACCTAGTCCCATATCCTATTTATAGCAAGAGCATCCGGATGTCTCTGAGAGGCCACAGAGCAACGCTCCTTGTCTGTTTTTGCTCCCAAACAAGAGACATTCGGAGGCAGGGTTATAACCAATAGTTATCTGCCATCAAGTTGGTTCCAATACATGGGGAACCTCGCCAGGATTTCCTAGATGTAAAGTAATGAAAACTAGTTTTCTTGGGGCATGCTCTGGAACGGTGTGGCTCCTGGATTTTATTTTGAGAAAGTGGCCAATCCATGTTAGTTTTATTGACTCTTTAATATCACTGAGCCGGGTAAGCACCACTTAAGCCAAGGAGAGGCCATTTATAGCCTTCATCCCACTTGCAAACGGCATGCGTCAACTGAGACCTACTGAAGGTAAGAATGATCTGTCCTTCTACGGGTTGTGTGGTGGGGGAGAGAAAGAGAGAGAAGGGGATTTTGGAAAGAAAGAGAGAGGAGGAGTGTGAGGGATGCAGAGGCAGACCAGAAAGAAAGAAAGAAAGAAAGAAAGAAAGAAAGAAAGAAAGAAAGAAAGAAAGAAAGAAAGAAAGAAAGAAAGAGAGAAAGAAAGAAAGAAAGAAAGAAAGAAAGAAAGAAAGAAAGAAAGAAAGAAAGAAAGGTGTGTCAGGGAAGGAAGGAAGGGTTGGCCTTGTGACCACTCAGCATTGACCTGTCTTGCAACTGCCTATGTCTGCTGACACATTACAGTCGTGCCCTGCTTTACAATTACCCTGTTTAACAACAAATCCGCTTGACGGTGAGGTTTTTGCAATCGCTTTTGCGATCGCACAACGATGGTTTGAATGGGGTTTTCCCGCTTTGCGATGATTGGTTCCCTGCTTCGGGAACCGATTTTCGCTTTACGATGATCAAAACAGCTGACCATCGGGTTTTCAAAGTGGCCACCGGGTGTACAAAATGGCTCCCCGCTGTGTTTAGGAGCCATTTTTTCCTTTACAGGCACCTGAAAATGGTCGCCCCTATGGAAGATCTTCTCTAGACTGTGAGTTTTCAGCCCATTGGAACGCATTGAGGGGTTTTCAATGCGTTTCAATGGTTTTTTTAGTTTTGTTTGACAACGTTTTCGCTCTACAGCGATTTCGCTGGAACGAATTAACATCGTCAAGCGAGGCACCACTGTACCACTTGAGCAGGGATCAGAATTACACCGGAACACATTTCCCCGTAGGTCATGTGATCAATGGGATCTAGATTGCACTGGGGCCACAAACTACGCACATTACAATCTCTTTCCCCATGTAATGACTCTGTAACTCTGGTGTACAGGCACATTTTCCCCCCATGAATTTTGTAAGATCACCTTTCACTTCACAGACATGATCCCTTTCCCAAAGAGAGAAGATAGCAAAAAAGACAGTTAGACACATTCCTTTTAATTTCCCTCCGATTACAGTAATTGCATTAAGAAAACTGTAATTCCATTAAATGACATAATTACCATTAATACTCAGCAAACTGTCAATAGAAGGGGTAATTATTCCAGGGGAAAAAATCATAAGCAGAAATGTGCAACCATGCATAATTCTTCCCAACAGTCATCCACATTTAAAATTAACCCTAAAGATGTTTTTTAAATACGGTGTTACCCACTGGTAGCAATTAGCTCCATGGAGGCAGGCTTAACTTTCAGGACCTGGATATGCAGAGTGGGTATTCAGCAGGAGCTTAATAGAGCAGCACTCCTAAACTCCTGTATGGCTTTGCTTCCTGTACGGTTTTTCATCTTTCCGCACTCTTATTCCATAGTGAAATTCAAGGGATAAAAGATGTAAAAGAACTGGTGCTTGCCATGTGCCTCTCAAATGACAAGCTACCGTATTTTTCGCTCTGTAAGACACACCTTTCCATAAGACGCACCAATTTTTTAGGAGAAGAAAACAGGAAAATATAATCTGTTTTCTTCGCTCCATAAGACGCACAGACTTTCCACCCCCCTGTTTTGTGGGGGGAAAGTGCGTCTTATGGTGCGAAAAATACGGTACATGTTGCAGAATATGACTCCACTGAATTGCTCACCGCTCTCTGGCCAAAGTCCAACAGCTATCCCCTACAGGAAGGACCACACTGAGGGTGGGATTCCAATGGCATCCGCTCGATTCGTGATTTCTTTCTTATTTGGCTGAAGTATTTCGCTACTCATCTGAGTAGCTTCTTCCTCAGTTGGAGAAGAGTTGACAGGGTCTATCGGGGTGTGTGTGTGTGTCTCCTACCAACTCTCCTCAGACCGAAGCAGCAGCTCCTTGGATGAGTAAGGAAACGTTTCAACCTAATAAGAAAGACGTCCAAGTGACCATGACTCAACTACCAGATACCATAAAGGATATTTATGGGGGGGGGGATTCACTCCACATGTCAGTAGCCCTACTCACCACAAATGCAACCACACTTCTCACAGGAGACTCCCAGAGAAAGCAGCTTCGGAGAAATTGTATTGTATTCCATAGGGTCATGGTGATTCTTTTCACACGATCTACGTTCCTCGATAAGATCTGATGACCATTGAGCAGGAAGGAAGAACAGATGAAAACATAAAGGAGTTGGGTCACTGGGTTTATTTTTCTTCCCAAAAGAGGTTTGTATTTTTGGTACGTTATAGGAACAAGGCAAGTGCAGTTGGGGCTTACTGTCTTTATGGGGAGGAGGGGACTTGGTTTTCCAGATGTTGATGGATGGGAATTCCTATCACCCTAGCCAGCAAAGCCAACGGTGGGAGATGTTTGGTGCTACACTCTAACAACATCTGGAGAACTACATATGCCCCACCTCTACTCTTTGAGCTACAGAACCTGTTTTCAGAACATGCACTGGCATTTTACAATGCATGGGAACACAGTCCTCTGTTTTAAGGGTCTTGTGGAACAGCGGTTAAACTGTAATACTGCAGTTAAGGCTCTGCTCACAATGAGTTTGATCTTCATTCCTGTGCAATTCCATTGTAGGGAAGCTAGTCTATTAAAAAAAACCCTCATGTTGTCCAATTTGAGGTATTACCGTGTTGTGGAAAGAAAGCTGACCATCTGTACAGCAGCTGAATGTACGTCCAGATGGATTCAGAAGGCTCCCATTGTACGGTGGGGACATCTGCATGTTTTCATTTGCTGCATGGTATGGTGATGTATGGCATGGTATAGACCAAGACTCAGAAGGGCAGCAATGAAGGAACTAGAGAAGACCATTAAGTCTTGGAGATGAAGACCATGATCATTCACACTATACCCATTCCCTCCAGCAAGAATGACACAGCCAGTAGGTACAATGGTTATAGCAGAAGCTTTGGACTTGGGAGGTCTGGGTTCAAATCCCACATCTCCATAAAACTCCCTGAGTCACCTTAGGCCAATTACTCTCTTACAAGCATGGTTTGCCCATCCAACGCAACCCAAAGCAAGCCAGTTGTTTGAGAACTCAGCTTTCATGTGCTGCCTTCACAAACTACCATTCTTGGCCAGCAGAAACTTGCAAGGAATTGCAGCCAAGAGGCTCACGTACCTTCTTCGAAAACTTGCGGTTGTCTTCTAGGAACCGCCTCTGGCGTGGAGAAAAAGTTCTGATACTTGCTTTCACCTGAGAGTAAGTACAAAAGAATCACCTTGTGTATGTGTTTAGGATCAAAAGCTCTGTCTTCACTTGATGTTGGCCAAAATCAAAAAGCAGTTGGGTCCAAGCTCACTCAAGGACTGCATCTCCCTTTACGAACCTCCTTGGGCGTTAAGATCATCAGGAGAAGCCTTTCTCTTGGTCCCGCCACCCTTACAGGTACATTTGGTGGGGATACAGAAATGGCCTTTGGAACTCCCTCCCACGGGAAACCAGACTGGCCCCATCTTCATTGTCCTTTCACAAGCAGGCGAAAACCTTTCTCTTCAAGCAAGCTTTCCTGTAGTGACTGGGCTGCCTGAACAAGGTTTATAAATGGATTGTTGTAATTTTCTGTATTGCATGTGTTTTTGGTGCTGCTTTTATCTACTGTCTTTTATTGTTCGATTTCTTTGATCCTTTTCAGTATTTGTTAACTTACTGTTTTTTAGTTGTAAATATCGTCTTTTAACTGATATAAGCTGATTTGGGTCCTATTTTAAGGAGAAAGGTGGGGTAAAATATTTTAAATAAATAAATAAAATACTGCTAGAGTATGGGGGGAAATGTTCAGGGCCTCCTTCTTGGGAAATATTTAGATAGGATACGATCAGCTGTAGCGAAGAAGAAACTGCTGACTTATTTTTGATTGATTAGAGGTGAAATTCAACAAGACCATTTTGTTACAGTCTGGGACGCTTTCTCTGGCTTCCAGTTGCGCTGGAAAAATGAGTTACTGAGAAGTCAGCTAGACTTTTAAAGTTGGGCAGAAACTAGAGGTTAACTGACAATAGAAATAGACCGTGTTATTACGGATCTAATTTGAACAAGGTGTAGCAGATGATGTAGGTCACAATATGATATTTTGCTGTATTACGACTTGATTAGCTGTTTCTCTATGGAATTTCAATAAAGACTACAGTATTTTTAAAAAGAGGCAGAAGCAGCTCTGTCTTAATTTACAGTATTTCCCCACAAGGCAGAAAACTTAAGAATCAGTGTTGAATGCAAACATGGCATCTGCCTCCACAATGTTCAGCCATGAATTGACATGGCAGTTGTTAAGCTCTTCTGTTGAGCACTTGCACAAGGAGGGCACATGTACGTGCATGCACCTACAAGGGGTTCTTTGGATGGGCTATAAGATGGGTGGATAGCTCAGAAGTTTAGGTATCTGGCTGTGGAGGAAGAGGTTGGGAGTTTGATTCCCCACCTGGGCCTCTTGCAAGGAGAGCCAGCCTGTGTGGCCTTAGGCAAAATGTGAAGTCCCAAGGCATCCCCAGAAGAAGGGAAGGGTCAACCACTTCTGATTATTATCAACCTGAGAAACCCTGAAAAGGTTACCCTAAGTCGGAAGTGACTTGACAACACCTGATTGTTATTAATGAACTGTAGCAAACCCTCGGCTTACACAGTCCCCTTTCCGTTGCCTTTCTATGCCATAAGGACAAGACAACATAAATCTTTCTCTTTTGATTAGAGTGGGAGGAATTGAACAGTGAGAAATTGACCAACAACTGGATTTGGTAAACCTCATATGCGTTCCCTCCCCTAAAATGGAAAAAAAAAATTCTGGATCCTGGTAAATTATTCAGCAGCAAAAAGTTCTATCCTTCTGTTTATTTATTTATTTATTTGATTTATACCCCGCCCATCTGGCCTAAAAGGCCACTCTAGGCGGCTTCCAGTGAATACAAACAGTAAAATAATACAAAGAGTTACATAAATCATAATTATAACATACACAATACAAAAATTGAACTAAAATAAATAAAGGAGAACAAGAGAGAATCAAGTGTTAGCTGGAGGGAAGGCCTGAATATATAGCCATGTTTTTAGTTGCTTTTTAAAGGTGCCCAAAGTGGAGGCTGCGCGGATCTCAGGAGGGAGATTATTCCATTTGTTCTGAACAAATTCAATAATATTTGAATCTCTTGCTCCCAAGAAAAGGAAATGAGATGGTACTTGACTGTCATATGTGTGTTAAGGATGAGGATGCTCTCCAAAAATAAAAAGGTGTTGATATTAGAGAAGAACATGAACCAGTTTAGTGGTTTGGCCCAGTTCAGCGCTGTGCCTGCACTGATGCTCTGGGGGCACCCCACACTCCTCTCTCCTGCCTCTTCTGCATGCTCACCCATTCCCCAGGCAATGTATGCTTCCCTCCCACCTCTTTAGTGCGCCTGCCCACTCCCCAAACACAGCATGTGCTTCCCTCCTCCGCTTCCTTTGGTAGCTACAGGCTTCTCTGCCTCCTTGTCTGAGTGGGCGGTTGCCAGAGGAGGTGGAGGAAGGAAGTGTGCACTGCAGTTGGTGAGTGGGCAGTCAGGCTGAATAGGCGGGGAGAGTGGGGAGCTTCAGCCGGTGAATGGATGAGCACACAGAGGTGAAGGCAGAGGGGAGGGCGCAGGACCCACAGAAC